AGAGGGAAGGTTGGGTGGACCATGAGGATCTGTGTATGCCACATTGAGCAACCTATACTGTATTCTCTGGGTTCAGTGTTTTCAAGCACGGGGAAATTTTTGAGCAGGGAGAGACCTTTCTGAACCCACAACTTTAGTGTATTGAGACAACACTCTAATCAACTGAGCTATCCTGCCAGGACACCACTGTCACTTTCTTAGTTTTGACCAATGCACTATGGTTAGGTAAGATATTAACCATAGGGGAAGCCGGGTAAAGGCTATACAGAAATTTTCTGTAATATCTTCATAATTTTTCTGTAGATCTCAAATATTCCCAAAGGAAAAATTTTTTAAGATAAGTTATATATGAGCAGCATAGCAATTGCTCAGGTGATGATAGAATCTTGCCCTTCCCTTCAGGCTGACAGTTGAGAATTTCCTCTGCTACTGCATCTGTCTGAGCTATGCCACCTCACCCACAAGTAAGGTTGAGTTGAGGACTCCTCAGGCTATGATATTGGACCAGAAAGAAGTAAATGGAAAAGGTAACTATTTGTTGTCTGATAGTGCAGCACCGAGTATTTCCTTCCCAAGGAAGGGATGTAGAAGATGTTTTTCCTTAATGACTACCCCCAGTGTCCCATTGTCCGCTCCTTCATAGAGGCCTTCCTGACTACCCATTCCTAAGAGTTCACACACAAACTCACACATACATCATCCCTTTTTATTGCTCTCACAGCTATCATCATTAACTGAAATCTTATTTATTTTCTCTCCCCTGTTCCTTCATCTCACTAGAACATCAGCCCCCTGAGCTCAGGACCTGTGTATCTTGTTCATTGCTATGTCCTCAGCTCCTAGCACTGGGCCTGCTGCCTCATAGGCACTCAGTTTTAATGGAATTGATTGAATTGAAATTCCCAGGTGGCAGGTTGCAGCCCACAGCACCAGCTGCTGTTGCCCAGGCCTTCTCTGCCCTAAGGCTGATGTTTTGCTCTCCTGTCCTGTCCTGAAGACCCGGGGCCACCTCTTCCCACACCTGACTTCATCTTCTTTGTTCACTTGCCCTTTCCATCTTGTTTACCTGTCTGCCAGCAGCTGCTACACTACCTGCCAGCTTTAATTCTGCTTCATTTAAGCTCATTTGCACCAATTTCCTTTTTTAGAACAATCCACGCAGTCCCCTGAAGAGCAGCACATGCTGTGGGCGGCCCTGCTTCCCTTTTCCTAATGAGCACAGAGCAGCAGTTTCCTTCCCTCTGAGCACTCACTGAAAGCCCTTTGCCAGAACAGGAGAGGCCTAGACTCAGAGATGCTCATTTCCTAGTGGACCTGAAGTCAGGGGCACACGCTGTGGAAATTCTGAATTTTAAGGGGATGGAAAGTCCAAAGTGCTTTGGGGGCTGACCTGCTTCCTGAGGTGACTTTTCCTTCCTCACAGCTGTAGGACCCACCCCACGTCCTCATCACTGGGCTTTTAGGCCTCGCGGTCCTGGGGGCTACAACTCAGGAGAGAGTCTGTTCTGCTCCCTAGAAATTGGAGTGAGAAAGAGGTTCAGGAGTAGTGGCCCCACCCCAGGGAATGTTCTCTCTTACCCTTAGAGGCTGCAGAATTGCCCTTTCTGTGCAGTGGCCTAGAATCTCAGCCCAGAACGGGAAAACACAGACTTCCTAACACATTGTCACATCCACCTCTCACTTTCTGCTGCTGCAGAAGGCTCAGCATAAAATGAAATCATGCTGCTTTTCATAGAAATGAAGCCAAGGCAGGAATGGGCAGGCAGAAACTGAAGGGCCAATGAGACTCATCTGGAAGAAGAGAAATTCCTGGGGTTGGATCAGCCAGGGTAGTGGAACTGGAACTTTGGCCTCAGCCAGAGGAGGTAGTAATCCCACCTCCACCACTAATTCACTGCAACCTCAGGCAAGTCGCTGAACCTCTCTGAGCCTCAGTGTCCACATCTCTAAGGTAGAACTTTTCATACCTGCCTACCTTGCATGGTTGCTGAGAATAAACAAGGTACTGTACATATCTGGTAGTGTATGGTATCTGACACATAGGGAGTACCCAATAAGTAAAAGCTTTTATTACCGTTTACAGGCTTTAAAACAGTGAGTGACGCCATCTTTACTGTGATTCAGAGTCATATTGCCTCGTTACTTAACATTCCCTCCTAAAAGTGCACTGGGGCTTGCTGAGGACTTGAGGGCCTCTCAGAGAGACACAGGCATTCCCACATCTACACATGAGGGACTTGGCCTCAGACCTTGAATTCACTGACTTAAAATTAACTGCTATTAGCCAGATTGTGCTCCCTATAATGTAGTGTTTTAGATTTTCAAAAAGCACAAAAGCCCTAGCTGGTTTGGCTCAGTGGATAGAGTGTCAGCCTGCGGACTGAAGGGCCCCCACTTCCATTCCGGTCAAGGGCATATGCCTGGGTTGTGGGCTTGATCCCCAGTAGGGGGCGTGCAGGAGGCAGCCAATCAGTGATCTCTCTCATCATTGATGTCTCTATCTCTCCCTCTCCCTTCCTCTCTGAAATCAATAAAAATATATTAAAGGGGGGCGGGAAATCCACCTACAACAACAGAGAAAGAAATGCTTGATTTCTGGGCTCTGTCGTGGCACTGGATGCCTCCAGAGAACTGGCGCTGTGTTCCAACACTTAACTGTTCCAGGTTCTGTTTCCTACTATATGTCCCCTTTCTTTCTGCTGCTTCCTGCTGGCAAAGGAAAGTTGATGACAAGACTTGGGCAAAAGCAAAATGTAGTTTTAAATTAAATAATACATTAAGAAAATGAGCTATGTCTAAGGAGAACAAATTCAAGTATGATCTGGGATCTACAGGTTCGCCATCCAGTGGTTCTAACCCTGGCCACTCACTAGAACCCCCTGTGGAGCATTAGAAGCAATAGCCCAGCCGGAGTGGCTCAGTGGTATGAACCAGGAGATCACGATTCCCAGGTTGCAGGC